ATTTACTTTATTTTATATCTTTATTTTAGTATTTTATTTTATTTTATATCTTATTTTTATTTTATTTTATTTTACTTTTTATTTTATTATTTTTTAATTTAGATACTGTCCAACTCAAGGAGGGGTGCGATGGCCTAGAGGTGGAGTTCTCACTTCACAATCAGGAGGCTGTGAGTTCGAACCTAGGTAGAGGCAGCTATTTCTCTCTCTGGGCACGCTGAGAATATATCAAGACTCCGCATTGAGTAGGAAGGGCATCCAGCCATTCAAAAAACTCTGCTAGCTCCATTCAGTTGCCCCAGACTCCACCCCACAAGGGATTAGTGGTCATTAAATAAAGATGATACTGTCCAACTTAGTCTTAATGTGACTCTGGGTAGTTTATAGTGGAAAAATTAAAAACCATATAAAAATACATAATGGCAGTCCTTAACATACAACCACATTTGAGTACAAAAATTTCCATTGTAAAGTGAGACAGTTGTTAAGTGAGTTTTGCCCTATTTTACGACCTTTCTTGCCACCGTTCTTAAGTGAATCACTGTGATGGTTAACTTAGCAAGCCGGTTGTTAAGTGAATCTGGCTTCCCCATTGATTTTGCATGTCAGGAGGTTGCAAAATATAATCACATGATTCTGGGACTACAATCCAGGGATGGGATTCAATTTTTTTTACTGCCGGTTCTGTGGGCGTGGCTCGGTGGGCATGGCAGGGGAAGGATACTGCAAAATCCCCCTTCCCTCCCCACCCTACTAACCTGCTTTCCAGCTCCATTCTCCCATGCAGGGCAACAAAAGAAGACTCAGCCGATCAGCTGGGACTCCAGAGGCAGGAATAGATAGGGGCGGGGCCAGTCAGAGGCGGTATTTGCCGGTTCTCCGAACTACTCAAAATTTCTGCTTCCGGTTCTCTAGAACTGGTCAGAACCTGCTGAATACCCACCTCTGCTACAACCGCCATAAATACATGCCAGTTGCCGAGCATCTGAATTTTGATCAGATGACCATAGGGATGCTGCAAAGGTTGTGAGAACGTAAGTCCCTTTTCATAAGTTGATTTTCTCAGTGCCGTTGCAACTTTGAACGGTCACTAAACGAATGGTTGTAAGTTGAGGACTGCCTGTATAAGAGCAAGTGGAAAATAAGTGCAGGAGATCATATACAATACGCAATACCCAACGACAGTTTGCTCTGAATGCCCTGTCTTCAGGGGTGGGATTCTACCAGTTCAGACCGGTTCTATAGAACCGGCTGTTACAATTCTGCCCAGTTCAGAGAAGTGGCAAATTGTGGCCCTGGCTGGCCTCGCCCCTCTCCGCCTGCCCCTCCCCTCCCTGCTGAGAAAGTCCTTTCCATGCATGCGCAGCATCACTGACTGCCCCCGCCCGCCCCGTCCCGCCCAGTCACTCCTTATGGTATTTCTTTCCCCCCCTCCTGACGATCAGCTGTTCTGATGATCAGCTGTGCCAGGATCCTCCTTGCTGTCTTATTGCTTCACTCAGAAGGCTTCCCTGAGGCCCAGGAGGCAAAAAGGGGCACGGGTGGGGGGAGGGGTACTGCGCGTCCCTCCCCCACATGCTCCATTTTTGGCCTCCTGGGCCTCAAGGAAGCCTTCTTGGAGCAAAAACAGCCTCCCAGGAGGCTTCCCTGATCCCCAGGTGGCAAAAATACGGAGCGCGGTGGGGGGGGGGGGCGTGCTGCAAAAAAAAAGAAGCCATGCCCACCCAGTCACATCGCCACGTCCACCTAGCCACGCCGACAGAACCGGTAGTAAAAATATTTGCACCCCGCCCCTGCGTGTCTTCTAACGGAGTGGCATGTCTTCCAGCTCATTGCCAAGTTGGAAATGTACGTCCTGGAGACTCCGTTTGATGAGCTTCCTTCCAGTGTTGTCATTCAGTACCAGGAGACCATTGTGCACCTGCAGAATTTGCTTCATCACAAATACAACCAAGCCACAGAGCATCTGCTGAAGGTAAGTGGAGGGCGCCATCACCGTCGTTTTTCCTCCGATTTTCAGATGACGTGGGATTGATGGCCTCCTCATTCGGACCAGGCTAGCTGCTGTTCTCTTCCATCAGTTTAATTTTAACAGCAACAACAATAACAACAGTGTTGGAAGGGACTTTGGGGCTCTTCTAGTCCAACTCCCGCCCTGCTCAGTGGTGGCGCACTGGTTAGAATGCAGTATTACAGGCAAATTCTGCCGACTGCCAGCATTTCGATTCTCACCTACTCAAAGCTGATTCAACCTTCCATCCTTCCGAAGTCGGTAAAATGAGGACCCAGATTGTTGGGGGCCATAGGCTGACTCTGTAAACCATTTAGAGAGGGCTGTAAAGCACTAGGAAGTGGTATATAAGTGTAAGTACTAGTGGTAAGTGCTTAGAAGATTAGCCAGAATGTTTAAGGATATATCTGCCAAGTGCTGGAAGTGCAACCAAATTCCGGGCATTTATTATCAAACGTGGTAGACATGTTCAAAAGCAAAAAATAAATAAATACTGGACTAAAATGCACCCCAGGCTAGAAAAAAATGATGTGAACATATAGATTTAAAACTGGAAAAATTCCTGTTGGGCATCATACCAGATAAATATAGTAAAAGAAATGCATTTTAATAGTACATGTATACAGCAGCCAGAATTGTGTTCGCACAACATTGGAAGGGTGAGAAAATCCCCACAGAAGAAAAGATAATAAGAAAATTATCTTTTAGAATGTGCAGAAATGAATAAACTAACATTTGAAATTCAAGAAAAGGAAGACACTGAATATTTTGAGGTGGTCTCTATCATTGGTTAAATAAGAGAAACAGGAGTTAGAAACTCGAAGAGTATGAGAGAAAGATTAATCTCACTATCAGGGTTGTTTGTTGTAACGTATTAATTGTGATTAATTGTGATGAGTTTTACTAATTAATAGGTATCAATATGATGGAAAAGCACTGTTATCATGAAATTATCATTAGAGAAGACTATTACTATGATTGTGACGAATATTACTCCAAGAAATGTAACCAGGCAACACACTGTATATATGGATTTTGAACACGTTGCTCTTTCTTTCTTTTTTTATTTATATTAATAAATAAATAAAAAACTAGTGATAAATGTTCAGACTGGAGGCCCCATACCATTTCAGACAAATGGTTATCCAATCTCTTGTTAAAAGCTTCCAGGGTTGAGGCATTCACAATTTCTGGAGGCAAGTTGTTTCACTGGTTAATTGTTCTAACTGTCAGGAAGTTTCTCCTTAGTTCTAAGTTGCTTCTCTCCTTGATTAGTTTCTTTTTTAAAATATTTTTTTTATTAATTTCCCAAATTTTAAAAACATAAAACAAAACTTTATACATTGTTATCAACATCAAGACATCTTTTGCATTTCCTCACATTTTTCAGTATATGTATTTACTTATTCCTTTACCATTACATTTTACTCTTACTGTAAATCAATACCTTTTATCCTTACATCTCAATCTTCTCCATGGTATATTTACATATTTACATATTCCCTCATTCTTTTCCTAATTGCCATTTTATTTTATTTTTATTTCTAAACCACACATACCAGGCATACCAGGCCCTACAATTAATTGAATCTTCTCTGTCTTTTATTTTCATCGTTAGCTTGTCCATCTCTATACAATCTATTATTTTTTTAATCACCATGCCTTCTGGTGGGACCCTTTTTTCCTTCCAGAGTTGTGCGTATGAAATCCTTGGCAGCTGTTAATATATGTAACATAATATATCTATCTGTTTTATTGCATTTTTGTGTTATTATACCTAATAAAAAAGTTTCCGGATTAAATTCAGTTTTCTGATTCGTGATTTCTTCTATCCATTGTCTAATTGTATTCCAATATTTTTTCACTTCCTGGCATGTCCACCAAGTATGAAAATAAGTGCCTTTTTCTTTTCCACATTTCCAACTATTTGGGTCTGAATTAAACATTTTTGCCAATCTAGCGGGAGGAAGGTGCCATCTGTAGAACATTTTGTATGGGCGAAAAATGTTGGCCATAATATAGACCTGGAAAATTGGGAGAGAATGTGGGGATCAAATTACAAACTAATTACATCCTTGATTAGTTTCATCTTTATTGCTTCTTGTCCTGCCCCCAATGCATGTGTTTGTGCCCAGTGTCTTTTCACTTTTTCACAAGTCTCTGTATTAACAGAGGGATACAATCAAGATCAAGGGAAGTACTAATACCACTCTATAAAGTCATAGTAAGACCACACCTAGAGTACTGCATCCAGTTTTGTTCACATTATAAAAAAGATGTTGAGACTCTAGAAAAAGTACAGAGAAGAGCAACCAGGATGATTAGGGGACTGGAGGCTAAAACATACAATGAACAGTTGCAGCAACTGGGTTTGGCTAGTCTAGGGAAGAGAAGGACCAGGGGAGACAGTGGTCTTCCAATATCTGAGGGGCTGCCACAGAGAGGAAGGGGTCAAGCTATTTTCCAAAGCACCTGAAGGCCAGACAAGGAATAATGGATGGATGGAGAGATTCAACCTGGAAATAAGGATAAACTTTCTGACAGTGAGAACAATCAACCAGTGGAAGAGACGTTGCCCTCGGAAGTTGTGGGAGCGCCATCACTTGAGACTTTCAAGAAGAGATTGGGCTGCCATTTGTCAGAAATAGTGTGGGGTCTCCTGCTTTGGGGGAGGGGGGTTCGACTAGATGACCTACAAGGTCATCTATTATCTGTTTTATACGATTATCTGTTAAGTCCACCATATGTGATAAAATGCTCTTTTGGGTTTGTTATATTTACAACAGTAATTTGAGATACCTTTATCTGTCACGGACAATTTCTTGGGTAGATTGGTGCAATTTTTTTTTTAATTCCTTTGTTCTGATGCTCTTTACAGCAAGCCAGTAGTTATGGAGAATCTGAAAGTGGAAATATGGAACTTGTCATGAAAGAGAAGGACATTACGCTGTGCCTTTGGGCCAATCTCAAGAAGAATGCAAGGTAGGAATGACATTCTCTGAGAAGCTTCATGTTATGATCACAATTGAGATGAGCCACAACTGGGAAGTACGCGAGAGGTCGCCCGGAAGAGCCTCACTGCGCATGCGTGCACCCCCGCCAGCCAGCTGATTGTCAGGTATCTGCCCTGCATACGCGAGAGGAGACGCACATGTGGGAGATGTGCACGCATGCTTAGAGGCGTTTTGTGCATGCACAGGGGGACGCGCGCACATTGTTGAGGTATTGCCCATTAGGAGAATGAGTGCAGTCAGGGAAACATAGTGAGAGTGGTGATGAATAACACGCAACCAGCACACAAATACACTGAATAGTAAAATGTAAGTTTTACTTCCAGTAAATGGGTAAACAAAGTCCAACAAACAGTCCAAATCATACACGGTTAAAGCAGTTAGTATTCAAAACAATCAGTCCAGGGATAATCCAAAAACAAAGTCCTTTTCTTTACCAGTATCATAAACAATGTTCAGTAAATGGAGTTTGCGAACAGTTGCAAGACTCACAGCAATACAAGCAGAATGATGATCAGGCAAAAGGCAAACAGGAAATGCAAAAAGTACAAACCAGGGTTCTGACTCCATCTTATGGCCATTGGAGGAACCTCAGCCAATCACAATTACAGCATTCTCTTAAAGATACAACAGTATTGAATGATTATCCTGGTTTATATATTGCCAACGCAACTGTTAGGTGACTACCATTCCTAACTCACATGCGCAGGGGGCGGGGGGAGCCGCACATACATTGCATCATGGGTGCAGGCACGCAAGTGCACTCTTGGCACGCAACGTGGAAAAGGTTAGCCGTCACTGCTGTATAACCTTGGTTGCCATTCCTTCCCCGTCAGATTCCGGAGCCAGTTGTTTTATGATGAGAACCGGCAACCCTGCCATGGCTTTGACCTCCCCAAGCCGCTGACCACCTGCGATGTGGCCGTACGCATCTTGCACACCCGCTATGACCACTTGTCGTCTTTTCAAGCTTTTCCCAAAGAGCTCCCAAAGCTGGACCTCCCGTCCACAGAGGGGGTGGCTCAGCCCAGTGTGGACACAGACGTCCAAAATGAAGAGACCCTGAAAGACGTTACTGAGATCAAAACGGAAACCTCAGTGAGAACCATGGTAAGACGGGGCAGAAACTTACAGAAAAAAAAAGAGAATAGAATGGAGTGGAGTGGAGTGGAGTGGAGTGGAGTGGAGTGGAGTGGAGTGGAGTAGAGTAGAGTAGAGTAGAGTACAGTAGAGTAGAGTAGAGTAGAGTAGAGTAGAGTAGAGTTGAGTAGAGTAGAGTAGAAAGAGTGGAGTGGAGTAGAGTAGAGTAGAG